ATATGAGGGAACCTTTTCAGGGACAGTTCACTATTCTGGTGAGTTATGTAAACTGACCAAGGAGATTGTGGGACCACACAGGAAGGAAATCAATGACATACAGTGTGCCTAAGGAGTCACCATGTAAGAGAAATCCCCCAAGCTTTCACAGAAAGCATCTTAGTCAAGCAATAGCTGCAACTCATTGTGACAGATGAAAATGACAGAACTGAAAGCTGCTATGCATGGTTCCAAGGCAAATCCTGAGACTAACTGACCTTGATGGATAGCAAAACACTAAATTAATTAAGGTCTCACTTTAACTTGGTCTTCAACACTCAGCAGAAAAGTATAATGACTAGAAAGAAAATCATCAGCAAAGTCCTCCAAACACAGCTTCTCAAACTTCAACTGAATATCCGTCGACTAAAACTACAAAAGAGCAAAGGGAAAGATGCCGAGAGTGGCCAGCTGGAGACTGTTCACATGTGTGCTCAGAACCAGAAGCTCCTGGGAAACACCGGAGAGCATGGAGTGCCCAAGGAATGCCTATGAGCACGAAACACCCGAGGTGAACAGGTGTACTAACCCTGAGAACACAGGGTATGAGAAGCAAATTAGTTAGGAAGAGTGGTTTCACCTGACATCAAACTGCCAAAAGAAATTGGCAACGTCTTTTTGCCAACAGGAAAGAGCACTCCACCTGATTCCAGCCTTCTGTATCTTGTCTTTATTTCTTCATCTTCTTGTCCCCCTTCAGTCTTTTTTTTTTTAATTTTATTTATTTTTTTGTGGGGGGGGGCAGCTCAGCCAACCAGGGGGCGGGGTTGGCTGCCATGTGGTGCTGGGGGATTGAACCGCGGTCCCTGTGCTTTGCTAAGCTTGTTCTAAGTAGGTGCTTTAGACCACTGAGCCATCTCACCAGCCCCGTGCATAGTTCTTTTTAACCAAAATTCCGTATTACTCAGTTAAAATAAAGGAAGTTCTTAAGCAAGAAGTAGAATTAGTTATCTTTTTTTTTTTTTTTAAATGTATTTGATGCAAAGTCTCAATATGCTCAGCACTGGGATTACAGGTGTATGCCACATTGCCCAGTCTGGGTGGCTGGCTCAGCATGCCTGGAGGTGGGGCCAGTGCAGCATGCGGTGCCAGGGATCAAACCCCGGTTCCTACACTTGCCTAAGCAGGTGCTTAGTCTGCTGAGTTGTCTCACTAGCCCTTACAATTGGATTTTACCTCTGTGCTTAACATCCTACCTTACCGTCATTTAAAGTGACATTCAAAAATCCCAATAAATAAACAAAAAGTACACTAAGGTACATGTATTTAGTTCTTACAACAATCCCAACTAACTAAATGCTAGAATGGAGCTGGGGAGATAGCTTGGTGATGTAAGTGCCTGCCTGGCAAGCGCAAGGACTTGGGTTTGACCCCCAATACTGCATGCCATACCAGCTCCGGAACCCTGGGTGCTCTGTGCCAGCTATCAAAATGGCAAGGTGGTACATGCCTGTAATCTCAGGGATGGGGAGGCTCAGACAGGAAGATCACTACGAGTCTGAGCTGCACAGTGAGACCTGTACCAAATAAATAAATAAACAATAGAGAGATTGTAAGGACAGAGGTCCATATTTCATAAAACTAAGCATGTAGCTCCCATGCTTTAAGAAATGGTCTTAATTTGTTTTCTATGATTTTTCTTCTTTATCTGTCAATATCATCCAGACCTCCTCTAATCACTGACAAGTAAATTAAAGATGGATGTTAGAGAAATTTTAGCCCTTTCCTTCAGCTAGCCAGTATACTCTGTGACTTCGTAATAATCTGTCAGGAGTATGTTCTTACATGTACAATCTAAAAACTTACCTCAAGAGAATAGCGACTACAGTGGTTACCAGAGTCTAAGAAGAGTAGGGAGGAGGGGAGGTCCAGAAAGAATGTCAATGAGTATAGAGATACCGTCATTGGATAGGAGTAACTTCTAATATTCTAGAGTACAGATTATATCTATACCACAGTAGAATAACCAAGGCTGACAACAATTATTTCAAAATAGGTAGCACAAATATTTTGAATATTCCCAACACAAACAAATGATGAATGTCTGAGGGGACAGATATGCCAATAATGCTGACTGATCGTTACACAATGTATGTATATACTGAAATCCATACTTACATATGTCACCGTGAATTAAAAATAGAACTGAATTTTTAAAAATTGTGAATATTAAGTTTATTTTCCCGTAAGTTAAACAGTATTATTGTCCTAGAAGGAAAACAAAATAATGAAGGAAGTACTTTAAAAGTAAATAGGGGCAGAAAGAATAGATCTGAATTTCTAATATTCATTTACAAAAAGATACATAGGCAGTTTTCTCTCTTTCTTAGGAGGAAAAAAACCCTTGATATTCACCCTTAATATCTTAAAAACACAATGCTTAAAGAAATTAATAAAAACAGGGCAATTTAAAAAAAGAGCAATTTCATTTCATTATTACCATTCCATAGCATTATTATCAATTTTAAACTGCTACTTTTCCCATCACTTTCTCTACCTTATTTCAAAAGACACTTGTCAAATACCTATAAATAACCAGGCCTAAAATTATATTAGCTTGTATAAATGTTTCTGGTCTTTGAGTTGTTTTTTTTTTTTTTAATCATCAAGATGATCTACTAGAACACTAACTTTACAACATCAATAAAATTCAAAACTTTTGAGTTTCAGAAGAAAGCAATTCCAAGTTTGTTAAATTCAATTTTACTTGTATACTTAAGTGGAGCTCCTAAACTATGTAAACTCTTTAAGTAAAAAAAAATATATATATATATATATATATATCTCCATGAAAATATATATATATACCAATGAAAATACAGGAATTAACCATATGCATTTAAAATGTTCAATATTCAATATGCACCTCAACATATACCTGTGAAACAATGAAAAAGTTGATTCGCTGGTGAAAGGTAATCTCTGAGACACCTAAGTACTAGTTCAGCACTCACCTAGTGCCACAATCTATCTCGAGTTTGTTGCTGATTAGACCCTTGATTCTCAAACTTAAGTTTCAGAATCACCTGGAAAATTTAACTTTGTATCCTAAAAGCTACAGCCCATAAGTTCAAACCTGTGTTTATTATGTATCCTTCAAGTGATTGATTCTAGGAGCAGGACAATCACAATTTTGGTTTACCCTCCTAATAGATAAGAAAAAACTCTGGATTGTAACTAATAATTAGAGATCAGAAGAACTATTTCCAATTTAAATTATACATTATTCAATTATCTTAACCACAATTCACTAATGCTTAATATGAATGCATAATAATGCTGAAAATGTTAAATAACTTCTGATTAGACAATTCAAACTGTCACTCAATCTACCAAATACTTTTCGGAAATACTCCAGTTATTGTTAATGTTTAAAACGAGTAGTAACAAAGTTAAGGACTGTAACTGAAAGAATCACTATATTATAGTGTAGAGAAAAAATCATTACTCAAAATTAGGAATAAATTACTATTTTGCCAACATGAGAGCCATAAGACACATGTAGTTACTTGAAGTAAAATAAAATTTAAAATTCTGTTCCTCAGTTGCACTGCCTACATTTTAAGCACTCAAAAGCCACATCCATGTAGCTAATGGCTAACAGTGAACTAAATAGAAAAAAAGGTATCTCCACCATCACAAAATGTTCTACTGAACAGCACTGGTCTAGAGGGAGTAGGTATTTAGTTAAAAATGCAATATAGGTTCTTCTGAATCAGTAGACTCAATATGGCAGCTTCAACTTTACATATATACACCTACTTTAGGTATTAATTATAGGTATTAGACATTAACCATAAAAGAACACTACTGTATTTTTCAACTTGTTTCAAGAAAAACCATTCAAAATTAATAAACTAACTTATTTGAGATTACCAAAACAGAAATACCTCATCAAGATCTGAAAGTATCAAAGGCACTAAAACTACAACTAGGTTTTTACCAAGTCAGAATCAATGAAAATAATCACCGGAAAATAAAAGGTGTTAGGTACAATAAAACTAGTTACCAAAAGATTAAACTAGTTAGTAGGCCTTGTTTTCCAACTACGTTGTAACTCTCTATTTATATGAATAACAAATAACTGCTTCTATAATTGGTTTAAAAATAACTTTACCACAATTAGCTCAAATTGATGATGTTTTTGCTGTCTACATTTTTAATTGCTTTCAACCAAGCTCATACTCAACATTTATAAATAATATAATGACCATAAGACAGATAAAAGTTTTTTAGTGAAGGACTATTAATTCACAATCCTGAGCAAATACTGCTTGTAGCAAAAAGTAGACAAAGTCTGTGAAACAAGTCGCGAATTAAAATTTCATCTTAGCCCAAATTATCTAGCTTTTAAAATGCAGTATGACAAACCACGAAAGCAAGGACAACAGGATGATTAAACTAGGGAAGATCATCTAATTACAAAAAAGAGCCTATTATATGGAAAAATTAAAGAACTTCAAGACAAGTATATGTCAATATAAACTTTTCCCACAAGAAGTTATAATCACTTGGATTAGTGTTTTTCTTAAATTCAAGTGTGCTCAAATATGATTATTAACTTACAGCAGACAATTTTCTTTTCTTTCTTTTTTTTTTTTTTTTTTTTGGTGGTACCAGGGATTGAACTCAGGACCTTGAGCTTGCCAGGCAAGCACTTATTCCATTGAGCTATCTCTCCAGGCCCCAAAATTTTGCTTCTAATCGGAAAATTTTGTTCTATGGGAGAATTTTTAAAACTATTTGACAAATTTAATACATAAAATTTAATACTACAACCTTCCAAACTGAACAGGTCACACTGATTTTAAGTTATAATCACTGGTGTAATATTCCTGTTTGGTGTTGATTCCTTCTGATTATCTACTTCAGAGATTAATAGCAAATCTAAGATCTAGCAAAAAAAAACAATAAGCACTACTAGAAACTGTTTAAAGAGTACTTAAAAAGATGTAACTTACCTGCAACACTAGTGATTGTAACTGGAACTCCCTGCACTTGAACGCCTGCAGCACCCAGGTTGGCAACGCTCACTGTCTGAAGGTTAGGCACTGATGCAAGCTGGGCAGTATTCAAAGTTATTGGGGCACCAGCAACAGCCACAGGAGCAATCTGAGCAAGAGTTGTGCCACCACTTGAAGACACTGGGGTGATGGTTAATTGTTGAGATAACCCAGCATTCTGAACTTGCAAATTTGAAAGACTCTGAATATTTTGAACCTGTACAGTTTGCCAGCTGATTTGCCCTGAAGGTGTTAAAGTTGGAGCCCTGATAAGCACCTGAGTCGGATTTACTGCTTGAAGTTGAACATTCTGCAAAGGCTGCTGCTGGATGGTCTGAATAGTCTGCCCTGACTGGAGTTGAAAGGACTGTGGTGGAATGGCCTGAATGATCTGTTGCTGAGGCTGTTGGATCTGAATCTGTTGTAAAATAGGCTGGCCTACAATCTGCACTTGCTGAAGAGAATTCGACTGATCCTGTGTATTCTGTATTCCGTTAGACTGAAGTTGACTGGAGCTTTGGGCTTCAGACTCAGTAGCAGCAGGTGTTTGAGATTCTTCAATGGTGCGTTCAGAACTACTGGCTGATGTGCTTGCATACTGGCCCGTATCTGCAGAGCTCACTAATGTGTCACTGCTTGTGAGAGATGTTGACGCGGTAGTTGTGCAGGTAGTGGAGGAGGAGGGAGATTCTGGCATAGTACTGGCCGAAGCAGTAGTGGTCGTGGGTGTGGAAGCTAACTGATTCCCATTGGAAGTCCCACTGTCAGTAGTCGTAGCAGGTTGGCCAACTTGTCCAGTCCCTCCTCCAGCAGTTACGTTGTTTATCACAGGCAAAGCTAAAGTCACTCCTCCAATGTTGATTGGTAGGGTTGTTACAACTTGAGCCTGAGTACCAGGAAGGGTCTGTAATTGAAGTGGTATGGAAACACCGGGTCTAATTTGGACTGGAACTGTCTGATTTGCCAGATTTTGAGCAAGAATATTCCCAGAAGCTGTCCTATTAGCAGCTGTGAGTATAGCTTGATTATTACCTGCGGATATTAGCTGAATTTGACCCTGCAAATCCTGTAGAGATGAACTACTAGTTGGATTGATTTGAATTTGCTGACCTTCTACTGCCTGAAGTTGAGGGATCACTTGGTACTGTACACTACCACTTGGATTTTGTACTTGTATTACTTGAAATTGACCAGGGGTGGAAGAATTACCTGATTTAGTTTTTGTAGGAGATGCACTCCCGTTATTACTGCTGGAAGAACTAGATGAACTAGAAGCTGGCTGAGAAACGTTATTTTCTTTTGAAGCAGGAGGAGTGGAGGCAACAAGTTGCCAAGCGCTTCCAGCAAGTTGTGTTGTTACCAGTTCTAGCTGTTGTGGCTGATTTTGAAGCTGCACCAATCCTTGGCTTGGATCTATAATAATTTGTTGTTGTCCAGTTGCTTGATTTTCACCAGGAGTCCCTATTTTGCTGCAAGTAGCTGCCAGTAAAGCCAGAGGAGAGGGCTGAGAGTCCTACCCAAAATGAGATGGTAAAGGAAAGGGGAGGAAAAAGTGGGTGGATTTAGTGGAGGCCAGTAGTTGGGAGGGGGTTATTTATTTTGACAGCTCTACATATCAGAACTTATTCAGGAAGTGGAAGAAATAAAAAAGAAATATGAACAAAAAGGTAAGAGCTATATGAATAAGAAAGCAGTCATTGTAATATGAAGTTTAAATAAAAGAAAATTTCTACCAAACTTAGTGTTATTCTCAACTCAAAATGCCCTTGGGAAAATAGTTTTCTTACAATCTTGAGTTTCTTGTGTAATAGGAAACAAAGTTATACCCTCAAATATGTAAAATCTTCGTGAATTTACAAGTTCCTCACTCTCAGAAAGATGCTTTGAGTGGAGAAACATTTTCCCCCCCTCTTCTTTACTTCTGGGCATTTAAAGGACATAACTCCCTCTGTCCCCTAATGTTTTATGATGAATTTGTTAATGTTTATTTTTACCTGGGAGCCTGAGGTTTTGGTTTTTTTATTGTTATTCTCTGGCTCAGAGGTTTTCCCTCCTTCTGTAGCCATCGCTGCCGCCGCCGCCGCCTCCTCCTCCTCCTCCTTCTTCTGATCTGCAACAACCCCCCCACACACATAGACACACAACAGGTTACTGGATTATTATTATTCATCTTCCCTCTCTCCTTTTCCCCCTCCCCCCCCCGAACATTAATCTCCATAAACCCGCGATCCGTGCACACCGGCAGGGGGTGGGGGAGAAGGAGGGAAGGGAGGAGGGGGATATCACAAAACGTGGTTTGAAACCCGACCCATCGGCTCCAGAGCAACACCCAGAAGGAGGTTGTTCTCGCTCAGACATTAAGACAAAACACAGCCCTCCTTCCCTCCCCCTGACTCCCTCCCTCCCTTCCTCCTCCCCTTAAAGCATCTCAGCGGCCCCGGGGGAGGGGGAGAACGGAGCAGGGTCTGGGGAGGGAGGGAGGAGGGAGGCGGTGAAGGAGACCGAGGGGGGTGGAGAATACGTACCGCTCATCCCGCATTAACAGGACAAACCCTTAGACGGAGACACTGGGATAGAGATGGGTGGGGGTGGGGGTGGGGGCGAGGCGGGAGGAGAGGCCGGTCCCGCCCGCCCGCGGTGGCTCGGAGGAGGCTGTAGCTGGCACAGGCTCTGCCTCTTTTTCCGCGAATGGCCGCCGCTGGGCTGTGGCGTAGCAGCTCCTCTCTCCGCCCGAGCCCGGCTGACTCGCCCTTGATTGACAGCGGCGGCGCGCGGCGCGGGCGGCAGCGCGGGCCGGGGGCGGGGCCAGGGCGGCGCGAGCCGGGCCGACTCCCCACCCCCCTCGGCCTCTCTCCGCCGCAGCCGCCGACTCTCCACCCCTTCCCCCAGCGGATTGGCCGCCGACCTGCCGGGGGCCGGGGCGCCGGGGCCGCCTTCTCTCCACCCCTTTCCCGGGTTATTCCTTCGGCCGCTCTTCTTTTCCTCCTTCGGCTCCCCTCGCGCTCTTTCTCTCGTCGTCCTGGCTCAGCGCGCTGCCGGTAGGCCCTCCATACAGCCAAACTTGTTGTTTCAGGATATCCCGCCCCCTCCTCATTTCCCAGCGCCCTCCACTCAGAACCCCTCTCCAGCAGCCCTGCGAGTGGCCACTGAAGGGAAAAGTAGGGCTATCACTGAGGGAAAGCGAGAGGGGTAGACTTAGAGGCGCGCAGACCCTGAAAGGCTTGGTGCGCACACCGAGCTGCCCGCTGCCCCCGCGCAGCGAGCATGGCTTTCCTGAGGCGCATCCGGACCCGGGCGCCCTTTTTCCCTGGCTCGGCCCCCATTGGCTGAGCCCGCGCTGACGCGTGCTGAGTGGTGGGAGAAAGGGGGCGGGCTTCTGCCGCGAAGCCTGTCGGGGCTCGTAGTTCCTGGCGGCCGCGGGGTGGGGGGACTCTGAGGCTCCGCCTCCTCCCTCCCCCGACCGAGGCCGGGCTGCGGAGCGGAAAGCTGCTGCCCGAGGGGGCGGTGGCAGCAGGGCGTGGCCCGGGCCGAGTGGGAGTAGAGCCGAGCGAGGGGGAGGGGGAATGGGTGTTGTTTGCCTGGGCCTATCGGCCGCGCGGGGCTGCCCAAACCACCTCTGCCACCGCCTCCTCGGCTCCAAGCCGCTCCCCGCGGGGCGAGCTCACGCCCCGAGCGCTTGGCGATTGAGCGGGCGGCGGCGTGGGGAGGCGGGGTTTGCTGTCCTCCGGGTTTGAATGAACCCGGCTTCTTGAAGCAGCGTCCGCACCTTGCCTTTCTACGTTCACCTTCCTCTCCAGGCCTCCCCGCTTCCAGCGCGAGGCCTGTTTTTCCATGGAGAACGACTTAAATTTTTATTTGTTGTCTCTCTCACTGAGCAGCTCTGGGTGCAGGGCTGTGACCCGGCCTTCTAGGGCCGCCTCATGTGTTGCCTGAGAACTCGCGTGGTTGGCAGACTTCTGTCCAGTATCATAAGATTCTGCAGTCAAAGAAAAGCCCAGCCTCGTAGGTGTCAGCCCTGCTGAAGCTTTAGCGTAAGCTTCTGGGCAAGTGCAATTCGCATTTAGCTGCAGAAAAGCATTTTCTTATCCAGTTCACTGGAGTGGCCTGTCCCCAGCTTTTCTTCAAAGTTCGAAAGTCAGGATAGTGTCATGAAGTACAACCAGTGCGTGATTAAGGGTACCAAAGGTGGTAGTGAATCTCTAACGTAGACATTGGCTTTAAAGACCCATCCTTACATACCAGGCTTGAAGCCATCTACTTTCTTTTCATCTGGGCTGCACATAGAGCCTTCCGTGTTTTTTGTCTTTTGCCTGAGGTCTGACAGGTTGCAGGGCTGAGGAGGTCCCAAATGCTGCTAGTGACTGACATTTCCTTTGCTTGTTCAAGTAATTATAATATGTGCTGATGACAAAGCCATGTAACAGTGAGACAAAGCAATTCAAATGAAGAATTACATAGTATTATCAACTCCATCTTACAAAATGAGCTGGAGAGCATTGAATAACCGTCCCCCCACACACACACATACAATGTAGAAAGCTCAAAAGTGATTCTTGCATTAACAGATACTGTCTATCCTTCCCCTACAGTACACACACTTCTTTAATGAACTAAAGACATTTTGCAGTCTCATGAATTGAGGCATTCCTTGTGGTTTTCTTACTTTACAAAACCTGCCTCAGAGAGGTAGTCACTCTCTGTGGACCATGGGTCATTCCCTGTGGATCAACAGTGTCCTGCAGATAAGTGGAAATACTAATAATCTGTGAGACATAGTTACAAGCTCTGCTTTTAGTAGACCAAGAGCTTCTAGTTGCTGGGTACTATGGACCAAATGTGCCCCACCCGCTCCCCATTTATATGTTGAAACTGTAACTCTCAGTTCACTTTGATGGTATCAGGGTGTAGGGTCTTTGGAAGATCATTAGGATTAGCTGAGGTCAGGAATGTGGAGCTCTCATGAATGAGATTAGCCATCTTAGAAGGGTCAGGCAAGAACTTGCTTCCCTGTGCTCTATTTTCCTCCATGTGAAGTTGTAACCGGAAGTGGGCAGTCTGCAACCATCAAGAGGGTCCTCACCACAAACTCAAACTTCCAGCCCCCAAAACTGAGAAATAATTATTTGGCCACAAAATACTTAATTTATGGTATTTTATTATAGATCTTGAGCTGTTTAAGACCAACTGAACAATGAGACTGAGGGCTGGTGACACATCAGTCACTTCTTAGTGACTGTCATCATTTTGCTATCCGGGGAGATGTCTCAGTAAAATAAGCACTTCCCTGGAAAGTACAAGGGTCTGAGTTCAATCCCCCATTCCACACACACAAAAAAAGTACGGTCATTCCCACACCACCTTCCTAATTTAAGGTATGTGCTACCTATACTATAATCTAATGATTTTCTTGAAACCAATTTGCTTCTATTTTTAATAACATAAGAAGTTTATATCACTACTGTAAATGAAAACCAGTTGTGGTTAGAGATCATTACTGACAAAAACTGCACTTTGACCAAACTTGAGTCAGGTTTCCATGAGTCCTCTTTCTGACTAGTCCTAACCTTAGGCTGTACCCTGAGTCTAGTGGCTTTCCTTATCTAGTCCAATTTTACCATGAATCCTGCTGGGGCAGTTTGATGAAAATCTCGTGTCCTACTATCTGACCAAAATCCCACATCCTTCATCGTTGATATCTTGTCACTCTGGCCTGTCTTCAGTAATAATCTGTCAAATCAGTTCAGTCAGAATTTCCCTTTACCCTGGATATTTGCTCTTAGTAATTTTCCATCCACTGATGTTACCATTTTCCCTGGCTATAGATCTCTACTTGTCATTCCATTAAGAGTGGAGCCTGGTTCCTTTTCTCCATTGCAAGGCTGCAGTGGTCTCTATAGTCTCCCCTTGAATGAAGTGTTCTTTACTGTATTAAAAAGTTAGCCTTGGGCTGGTGAGATGGCTCAGTGGTCTAAAGCACCTACTTAGAACAAGCTTAGCAAATCACAGGGACCACGGTTCAATCCCCCAGCACCACATGCCAGCCAGCCCCGCCCCCTGGTGGGCTGAGCTGGCCACACACACACACACAGACACACACACACACACACACACACACACAAATAAATAAATAAATAAAAATTAAAAAAAAAAAGTTAGCCTTACAAGTTTCTTCCTACATTCATACTGCCCACAGAATAATGGCTTTCCACCTGTTACATTATGACCCACAGGAGCAAATATATTTTGCATCATTACCCAGTGTATACACACAGAAAAGAAAGCCATGTTATACTTTTCTTCTAAATGTTTCACAGTATTAAGCACCAGAGGAAATATTGCCAGGACCTTCAGGCTATATCATAGGGTCTCCTGCAATACATTACTCTGCAGTTGCTGGTAGATTCAGAGGCTGATGAAATTATGTTGGGGGCAAGGAGAGAACTTGGACAGTAGTCTGAAATTAACACCTTTTAGAGCCCTATCAGTGGATATTGAGTGAATATCAGCAAAGTCTGTTAACTGAAACTAAGTCTCAAGAAAACTACAGTCTTCCTGTGTGTGGTGCTACTTCCTCCCCCACCTGCCTTTCAAAAAATTCTGCTGCCACGGCATAAGTTTGAAAAACTGGTCTCATACTGAGTCTCCCGTCCCAGCAGTCCTTTTGTAGGAGCAGAAAGTTGCTATTTCTGTATAAACTGTAGAACAAGTCTAGAATTCAAGCAGGTTCCTTGTTCATTACTCTACACATCTGCATCAAATCTCAGTCTACATTTAGAAAAATGCTATTGAAATGGTTCACCAGTTTCTTTCAGATATACAGTATCTGGTGGTCCCCACTTTCAAAGACTGGGCATTGCTCAATTGAGTGTTTTCAACCAACAAATATGACTGCCCCACATAATCTGGCTAGAACAAATGGATTCCTTTCCCCCAGGGCAAGGCCTTAGGTCTTGAAGGTCAAAGGCTGGGCCAAGAATGCTTGCTACGGAGGTTACTTAATTTAATATGGGCCCAGACATGACATAAATTAGAAAAGGTACCTATTGTGAATGTTTCCTTCAAGGAGCTATTTTTTGAAATAAGTATTAAGTTGCTTCATTTTGATATAGGAGAAATATAACTCTCAACCATTAGATGTCAGATGTGCCTAGTTTGCCCATTACATCAAGAAATGAAGTTGCAAAACAAAGAAAGAAATTAAGAGAATTTTATTGGGACTGATAGGAAAGTAACTCCTGGATTTCCAGGAGGAAGTCTCAAACGGAGTGGCTCCTGACGCCCTTTGTCAGGCGTAATTTATACAGCAAAGACACAATGTGGGTACTACATGAGATAAACTACAATCAGTCTATAGGATTACAGTTATACTGGCTTAGCTTATATCAGTTTAGCCAATAGGTAAACAGGTCACATAGAGTACATGAGAAGAACAAAGACATGTCCAAATATTCTAGTCACCCACCTAGACGGGCTACTAATGCCTATCTGGACTTCACTGGTAAGCACTTCCCTCGCAAGTGCAAGGGCCTGCATTCAATCCCTGGTTCAAAAAAAGAAAAAGTTGGGGGGCTGGGGAGATGGCTCAGTGGAATACGCGCTTCCCTGTACTTCACTGGACCATGTGGTACCATTTACAATCAGGTTATAGTTAATCCCTCAGGGGGGCATATAGACTTGGCCATTGCATCTTTATCTTGAGGCCTGGCTTTCTTCAGATGTACCTCCAGCCACAATTCT